GCCCCCCCATCACCCCTCACCCCATCACTGCTTGGCACAGCCCCCATGGTGCCTTTGGCTCTGGCTGCCCCAGGCCTTGAGTCACACAGCCTGGGAACGAGGGCGAAAAGCAGGGTGGAAGCCAGTGTGACCCTGTGTGTCCCTCCTGCCCGAGTCACGGCTGCATCACACCCCGGTGCCGAGATCCGGGCACGGCACAGCTGAGATCCGGGCACAGCCCCGGTGGCAGAGCTGCTGCTCTGGATGCCCACACCTCCCCCGGCACGGCACGGAGCGTGGCACGGCACAGCATGGCAAATCCCTTCTCTGGGCTCCCAAAACACAGGCTCTGCACACCCAGTGACCCAACACAGAGCCTGGGTCTGTCACCACGTCTCCATCGGAGCTCCTGAGCCCCCACTGGCCCCAGCTCTGTCCCCTCCCTCCCATCACTCCCAGTGCAGCTGCTCCATGTGCTCTGACCTGCTTCCCCTCCCATGTGTCCTGGCACGTTCCTCACACATGTTCTTGGAATGTAAACTGTGATGGTTCACCAGGTCCATTACTTGTTTTCCAGGGAATGCAGCCCAAACCCCTCATTGCTTCCAAAATGGGCTTCCTGCACCTCTGACCCCTGACCACTCTTCCCAATGCCCCTGCTGCTCCAGCCCTGCTTCCATCACAGCTCTGGCTTCCTCCTTTATCCCGCTGTGGTACACCCCCATACATCCAGCCCCAGCCCAACACACCCTGCTGCAGCCCTGCTCCCCTGCATTCCACTGGGCACATCCCTGGCATCCAGCCCCATCCCACTGGGTACCACTGGCAGAGCCAGCAAGGAGCAGTGCCGCTCACCTGCACCAGATCCCCAAACCAGCAACACCTCATTCCTCTCCCACACGGCCCAAAGGGAAGTGGTGTGGCCACGGCGCAGTGGGACTCACCCTCAGTGGGTTCTCCCGGTCCAGGACGATCACCCTGCGAGTGACTGTGTGCAGCAGCCGCTCCAGGATCACCTGGATGTGCTTCTTCACCCACACCTGCAAGGTAAGAGGTGTCAGGGCCATGCCAGGGCACATCCCACCTGCAGGGCACATCCCAGCTGTGGGGCACATCCCAGCTGTGGGGCACAGCACAGCTGTGGGACACATCCCAGCTGCAGGGCACATCCCAGCTGCGGGGCACAGATGGCACAGCACAGCTCATTTGATCCCCATGCAAAGGCTGGTGGCATCAGGGTGGCAAGATGGGAACGGGGCCTGATCCGGGGTCGGAGTCAGAGCACAGCAATGTGCTCTGGTGTAAACACAGAACTCAGGATCTCTGTGCAGCTCAGCCCCATACACCTCCTGGCAAAGTGGCCACCTGGCTGGGGACAATGGGAACAGCTGGGGACAGCTGGGAGTCACAGGGATGGCCACATTGGCACTGAGCAGGCAAAGGTGGGTTCAGCTCACATGGGGTTGAAGTGAGTGCAGAATCCTCCCCTGAGAGAGTCCCACTACCCTCTTCATAAAGGCTATTTTAGATTTGAAAGTTAAGCCCAAAACGAGACATTTCACCACAATTTCTGAGCTTTCCCTCCCACTCCTTGGCTTCCCAGTGCCGTGGGGGTCAAACAGCCACCACGCCCTCCCAGGACACGGTGCAAATGTTCACCTCGGTTCCCACAACACCAGTCACTGCGCTTCAGGTGTGAGATCTGTGTCATCTCCCAGGGGTCCCTGAAAGGGACTCCAGAGCAGAGAGCAGCCGGGAAGGACAGGATCAGAGGAAGGGTCCTGCCAGCACTGAGCCCTGCACGTTCCCAAAGTGCTGGGAATGGCACTGCCAGAAGTAGCCACACGATGTCCCGTCACCCGACCCGGCTGTAGGAGGGCTGGGCTGGCAGGCAGGGACAATGATGGGCTCACCAGGGGCAGGGACACGGCCGATGTGGCTGCAGGAAGGCAGGGATGGACGGCAGCCCCAGGAAGCACAGGGAGAGGAGGACAGCTGCCAAAATCTGGGCATGCAGAGACATTCCCCACCCGGGGGGACTCAGGTGACCACGCAGGGTTTGTCACCACAGCCAGATGCAGACAAGCCCTTCCCAAAGGCTCAGGGTCACCTGGACCCTTCCTGCCATCCACCACATGCTGAGGCTGCTGGAGGGACACTCACCAGCTCCACGTCCCCGCGGTCCTTGTCCCGTGCTCGCAGCTCCTCCGCGCTCTGCAATCACAGCGCCCCAGGAGCTGGACTGAGACCCTGCAGGGACGGCCCCGGCCCCCCCAGCCCACCCTGGATGGGCCACATTTGGGTGGGCAGGCACCCACATCTTCTTCCTCCCTGCCCTCACCTCCTCCCTGGCCTCACCTTCCCCCCTGCCCTTGCCTTTCTCCCAGCTCTGCAGAGCCAGCAATGTCCCCCCATCCTCAGGTCAGTGCAGTCCCTGAGCTTGGCAGCCCCTTCCTGACTCATGGGAATGGAGGGGAACCCACTAGAGACTCGCTGAGGTGGAAACCAGCAGGTTTTTGCCCCATCCTGGGCAGGTTCCTGCTGGGACAGCAGCACCCACAGTCCCCTGTATGACTACGGTCAGCTCCGACTATATTGTGGCCAGGAATTTGTGCTTAACCCCACTCAGAGGGATTTGGTCAGGTCACTGGCCAGACAATTCCTGAGTTACCTTCTGGGCCTGGTACAGCACCTCCAGGATGCTGCTGAGCAGCTCGATGCAGGCGTCCTCCTCCTCACCTGCCTGGATCAGCTCCTGCAGGATGGGCAGGGCCGCCTGCAGCACCAGTTCCCGGCACTCTGAGGGGGAGAGGGGGGCACAAAGATGAGGCAATTGCCCCCCCTCTGTGGAGACACCACAGGCATGGGCCAGAGGAGGTGTCCCTCTGCAGGGAATTGTCCCCATTCTGTGCCACAGCCCGCAGGTGAGCTCAGCAAGGGCTGTGTCACCAGGACCCCTCATGCCCCCTCTCACCGTGGGACTGGAAGACTCTGCTGCTGGCGATGTGGGTCAGGGACTGCAACTTCTGCTTCAGCAGGCGCTGGGGTGGCAGGTTCCCCACAAAGTCCCGCAGCACAGCCCTGCCGTTGGGACAGGGGTTAACCCCGGACCCCCAGGCTCTGCTCAGGATGGGGCTGCTGGGCGGGGGGAGCCCCTCGATGGGGCACAGCCATGTGGGGCAGGATGGTCCCAGAGGGCAGCCACAGACAGTGCAGGCACCCAGCATACAAACCCCACCTTAATTCCCAAAACACACCCAGCTGGGGCTCAGCCCCTGCCCCAGCACAGGCAGCTGCTAAAACTGAGCAAACCCCTCCCATTACTGCACTGGGAAGGGCATCAGGAGACCCAGACCCCTCCACTTGCCCTCATTCAGCTCTGGGTCGGACACAGGGACAGAGGGGGCTGTGGCAGGTGCTGAGCATGACACAAGGGTGGGAACGGGGTGGGACAGGACAGGGACAGGGACCCTACCCCAGTGCAGAAGAGTCAAAGATCCCAAACACGTCCTCGAGAATGGAGGGCAGGTACTTGAGGGCTGCTCCCTGCAAAGAGACCGGAGAGCTGCCGGCACTGACCCAGCACCGAGAGGCGACACGGGCAGGGCACCCACGGCCCCCCTTCCCAGCCATCGCACGTGAGGGGGGCTGTGGCCACAGGGGTTCAGGCAGGGATGGAACAAAACGGTCTTAAAGTCCCTTCCAACCCAAACCATTCCCTGATTCTGTGATTCTACAAGATCGGAGTATCGATCCGTGTTCAGATGGGAGAGGGGATAAGGAGCCCCTCTGCTCCATGGGGATGACTGTCCTGTTGGCCTTCAAGCGCCTTTTTTTCCAGTTAGATCAGTTTATATGGGAATATCCAAGAATGTCATGACATAGTTAGGCATAGGAGCTGTCCCAGGGCTACCACACGTCCCCATCTGCAGATGGGGTCCCCACCCTGCAGAGCCTCTCTCCAGCTGGGAGACCACGGGTGGAGAGTGTGGTCCCACTGCCACTGTCACAGCACCCCTGACCCATCGCCCAGACCAGCTCTGCTCCCTTCAGCACCATGTGCCAGCCTCATCCTGGCTGCAGGGAACAGGGCCAGACCAGCTCCGGGATGGGGATAAACCCCAGGAGTCCTCCCCAGACCCCCTTCCCAGCCAGTGTCACCCTGACATGGGCACAGCCAGTGTCACCCTGATGTGGGCACAGCCAGTGTCACCCAGCATGGGCACAGACAGCACCTGGCCCGGGCACCCTCCATCCCACCACACAGCAGAGCTGAGCCTTCCCAGCACCTCCCAACACTGTACCTGGGAGAGCAGAGTGGGACCCTCCAGTGGGGACTCCATCAGCTGGTTCAGGGCAAGGAAGAAGCGCTGTAAGGAGCGCTGGAACTGGGCCGTCTCCTTCCCCCCGTAGAGCCTGCAATGGCCAGATCACTGTGCTGTCACTGCACTGCCACCCTGCTGCCTTCCCCAGCACCACCTGCCTCTGCTCGGGGGTCACCTGCCATCCCAGTTAATTACACTCTTCCATGAACGTTTGCCATGGCTGGATCTAGTAGTGAGCCCTGGCACAGCCACTGTGTTGGCACTGTCACTGCCCCGGCACAGCCACAGGTCCTGGCGACAGGGCGCAGCTGCCACCAGTAACAGCACAGTCCTGGCAGCAGCCACTGCCCTCCAGTACAGAGCCACAGTCCTGGCACAGCCACTGCCCCAGTACAGCCTCAGACCCACTCACATGAGCACTTTATTTTTTTGACAAGCCTAATTTCTGTGATTTCGCACCCCAAATCCCTCTCGGAGAAGGTTGGCACTGTCCCACTTGAGCAGGAGCCTCCTGAGCCCTCCCCCCCGCCCTCCATGACCTGCAGGACCAGAGCAAACCAAATGGGGGGAATTCAGCTGTGGAATGTGCAAAACTGCAGGGAAACTGCCGAGCTACAAAGCAGAGGTGCGATCATAGGAATTAAATCACTGCAACAGGCTGTGTTTGAGGTAATTCCCCCATCACTGACACCAATCACAGTCAGCTACGTGGTAGGAGTAATTATCCAGCCACCAGCTATGTAAGGAAATCCGGGAATTATGGAATAGTTTGGGTTGGAAGGGACCTCAAAACCCATCCAGTCCCACCCCCTGGCATGGGCAGGGACACCTTCCACCAGAGCAGGCTGATCCAAGCCCTGTCCAGTCTGGCCTCAAAATCTGCATGGACTGCAACAAATCCATGTTGACCACGATTCACTCAGGAAGGGTCAGGGAGGTTCCTGGGAAGGGATATCCTGGGTCCTGGGAAGGGATGTCCCGCCCATGAGCTCCCACAGCCCAGGTCACAGTGAGAGCACAGCAGTTGTGATGACCTTTGGAGACCCCAGCAATGTCCCCGTGGGAGAGGTCTGGGGGGATACACAGCAGCTGTGGGGTCCCTGGCTGGGAGCTGGGGCAAGGGGCCAGGTCCCTTCTAGGGCGAGGCGTGGAGCGAGGAGAGGGAGCGAGAGGCCCATTAGGGGGGCTGGCAGAGCCCATGAGGGGGCTGGAGGTGGGCTCTGCTGCAGGAACCAGGGGCTGTGCGAGGCCGGGCGAGGGGACCATGAGCTGCAGGTGGCTGTGGAGGGGTGACACCAGCTCACCCTGCTGACAGCAGAGCAGGGTGAGCCCTGCAGGGACGGCAGGTACTGTGCAGGAAAAGCTTTGCTGCCCTCAGTGGTGGCCCAAAAGCAGAAGCAGCTGGAGGAACCAGCAGGGAGGAAGCAGCAAGTGGGAGACCGTGTCACGACAGCGCCGTCACCCACCCCACTGCCCACAGCTGCCTCCACACGGGTGCTGGGGGGACCTGAGGGGACATGGAGTGTCCCAAGGTGGAGAATGGGGCTTGATCGTCCTCACAGCACCCTGGGCTCCTCGCAGGAGCTGTGGGTGCTGCTCGTCCAGCTCCAGTGGCAGCACACGCAATCCCAGACCCGGCAATCTGCAGCGACTGACTCCAATTACAACCCAGTTCCTGCCGATTACAGACTGTACAAATTGCAGCACGTTCAGAGCACTTAGAGGATCTGAGGACCCCGTGTTATTGCGTGTTGAGATCGCTGAGATAAAGGGAAACCGAATAAAATGGCTAAATGTCCTCAGGGATGTTTCTGTTCCAGGCAAACTCATTCACGGGGCTGTTTGCAAATGCACCACGTAATTAATTTCTTATGCCAGGAGCTCAGTAAGCCAGGAATCTGCTCTGTGTCCTCACACATGAGGGAAAAGCAGGTGTGATGCTGGAGCACCCCAGAGCCCTGGAGCCATGAATGGTGCCCTGGGAAGGGCAGGCAGGGGAGGTGGAGAGGACAGGCAGGGCTCAAGGCAGCTCACACGGCGAGGACAGAGCGAGGCAAAGTGAGGTGTGAGGGTTCCTGGGGTGCCGGAGTCCCGACACAGCTCCTCACTGCCGGTGGGGTTCAGAGCACCAGCGGGGACCCCGACACAGCTCCTCACTGCCAGTGGTGTTCAGAGCTCCATCAGGGACCCCGACACAGCTCCTCACTTCCAGTGGGGTTCAGAGCTCCATCAGGGACCCCGACACAGCTCCTCACTGCCAGTGGGGTTCAGAGCTCCATCAGGGACCCCGACACATCCCGGGCTTGGGGCAGAGGACGCAGAGCCCCTGCTCCCCTGAACACAGCAGCCTGCCAACTGTGGCCCCTGCACGTGGGGTGATCCTGCTGCTCTGGGTGCCAGCCCGTGCCCACCACAGGCGGGGGGCCCTCCCCGTGTGTGGGGGGGCCCCGCACTGCCTGTTGTTCCCTCGGGACACTTCGGCTTTCGGTGTCATGTACGTGGAACGAAAGAGGAACGTCACTGGCTTTTTCTGGTAACACTGATGGTCATGTTCTGTTTTCCTCCTCTCCCACGCCCGCCCGGAGGAGGGCTGTTTGTCCCACCATGCAGACTGGGATGTGAACCCTGTGCCCACGGGCAACAAGTGAAACCAGGTCCTACGAAGACTCTGGAGGTGCCAGGGGAGGGGGGTTTTGACTTTGTCCTCAGCAGGAACAGGGAGCCATTGAGGCTCCCAGCCCCCTGCACTGCTCATCACAGGTGGGTTTGGGTTGGAAAGGGCTTCACAGACCATCCAGTTTTAGCCTCCTTCTATGGGCAGGGACACATCCCACTAACCTTGCCAGTGCAGTGCTGGCTGTTCAGGGGCACAGGCTGCTCGGGACATTTTGCTATCTCCAGCGTGGGAGGATTTCAAGAGCTCATTGGAAACCCCCCAGAGTCACTACAGGGCACACAGGGCATTTGGGATTCCCAGTGAGTGGATTGATCTCTCCTGCCCTGAGAGGGATGGCACTGCCCACCCCCACACCAGACCACCAACACTCCAGCAGCAGCCAGAGGACGGGATGGAGCTGAAAATGGCCAGAATCTTCAGGGAGAGGATTCACAGTGATAGAGGAGCGTGGCTGGGGACCAGCTGACGTGGCAGCATGGCAGCAGTGTGCCAGAAGCGGCGGCTGCCACCCCGGGTGCCACAGCAGCAGCACCAGGTGGGTCGAGGTGCCAGTGCCACAACCCTGGGACTGACAGCACCGGCACCGTTCCTGCAGCACAGAGACCCCCTTCCTTCCCTCCCTCCTGCAGACCCCATGGCCAGGGACCAGGCTCCGGGGGGCACGGCACCGGGAGCACTGGGAGCCATTGCCAGCACTTACTGGGCAAAGAGGCGCCGGGAGCGGACGATGAACTTGAAGATGTACTCCAAGGCCTTGAAGGTGCGCGGGAGGGGCTCACAGGGCTGGCCCTGCCCCGCCTGCTCCACGTACTGAGTCAGCACCGAGAGCAGCTTCCTGCGGGATGGGACGTGTGTGCCAGGGACCGGCAGGTTTCACGCCTTGGCTGAAGCCGGGCTCAGCTCCGACTGTGGCCTCCAGCATCCCAGTGCCATCCCTCCCTGTACCCACTGTCTCAGTCCACCCCTCCCCGTGGCCAGCTGTCCAAGCCCCCGCCACCCACCCCCAATTCCAGCTGTCCCAGCCCATCCCTCCCTGTCCCATGGCCCCCAGGAACGCACTTGTAGGCGAGTGTGGCACTGAAGTGCTGGCAGATATAGGCCTCCAGGACTGTGTTGAAGTGCTGGAACTTCCTGTCAGCCACCAGCCCCACGATGAAAACCTGGGGGCAGCCAGCAGAGGCATAGCTGGGTCTGGGCAGTGGGATGCCTGGAGGCAGCCGGGTGCCAAAGTGGCATCGACCCCTCGTGGGAGCTGCTGGGGCCACCAGAGTCCCCTGCACGCCTGCCCAGCCTGTTAGGATAGACAGACCCCCGAGGTGGAAAGCCCACCATGAGCCCCAAGCCCAGGTGGCCACAGGGATTCTTCATGGCCAGAACTTGCAGCACCACCAACCCCGGGTGTCCCACAACAGCCACCCTGACCCCCACCCTTCCCTGGTCCCCTCACCAGGGTCACTCTTGTCTTGGTGTAGGAGAAATGCCCTCGAATCCTGCTGGGATTGTCCCCTGGAGGGACAATGTTCCCCACAGCCACAGCCCTGCCCCGTGCCAGGTTGGTGGGACACAACCTGAGGCACTGCACAGCTCAGAGCACAGCTGGTCAGCTCGGACCAGTGAGCCCCACTGCTCCAGTCCCACCCCCTGCACTGGTGGGGGCTCAGACCCACATTCTGCACCGTGGGACTCACCAGAGCATCAAAGACAAGTGTGTCATAGACATCTGTGTCCGAGTGCTCCATCATGATGGAGAACAGGGCATCCAGTGTGTCCTGGAGGAACTGGGGGGGCAAGAGGGCCGTGAGGGCTTGAGCACTGACCCCAGCGTGGCACCGGACCCAGCTCTGGGCGTGGGGAGGCTGCGGGTGCAGGAGCAGGAAAGGAGATGGGGGCAGGTCCTGGCTGTACCTTGATGACCTCCCCTCCATCCACGTTCATCAGCTTCTGGAGGTTCCCGCGGAGCAGGCTGGGCTTGGAGCGCCACTTCAGCAGCCCCAGCAGGTTCACTGGGCAGGAGGAAGGGGGCAGTCACTGACAGACTGACAGACCCCAGTGTTACCAACCCCTGGCTCCCCATCCCACCTTCACTAACAGATCCCAACCTCAGTGACCCCTGGCTCCCTGTCCCACCCTCACTCCCCAGGGCAGCCATAATCCCGCCGGGAGCAGCTGGAACCTCCCAGCCTCCCCCTACAACCACTGCTCAGTGCTGAAAGCTCCCGATGCCAGAGCCACAAAAGCACAAACTCAGCTAAACAGGTCGTGGCCGTGGGAGCCGAAATTGTGCTGCAGGAAGGGAGTGAATGGGGCCGCCTTGGCCCCCAGCCCCCTGCGCTGACCCGCGGGGACCCCGACCCGCAGGCACGTGTCACCGTGTGCTCCGTGCCTCCAGTCCCCACAGCGAGGCCGTTGTGTCAGGCACTTCACCCGGAGTGGGATGGGCCATTCCCATCCTCCAGCCTCGTAGCAGGAAGGACTGGACCCCGGCATTTGCACGGGCCCTTCCCCTGAGCAAGGGGCGTGAGTCTCTGCCAAGGGGAGATGTCTGTGCCAAGGGGGCACAAACACTCTTGGCTGCCCTGACCTGTGCAGAGCAGCCCTGGCCTGGAAACTCCCCCCGGCTAACCCAGAAATGGGGTTTAAGCCATTGAGCCCCAGTTCCCACATCAATTTCAAAGGAAGGTCATGAAGGCTCCAACAGTGATATTCAAGTGGGAATTCTGCTCACTGCTGCTCCTCTCCCCTTGGAAACAGCCTTGGCCATTCTGACTGTGTCCCAACAGTAACTGTGCTCACTGTTCCCACTCTCCCAGTGTTTCTGGTGTCTTCAGCACACTGTGCTGGTGCAACGGGCACTGGAGAGCCAAATGCTGGGAGAAGTATGGTCCAGTGGGTGGGAACACCACCTGGGAGGGGGCACAGCCCTGCCACCCCCACCGCGGGGAGCCAGCACTCACCGTTCTGGGTCAGCTTCGTGGAGCAGACGAGTGTGGAGATTTGGAAGCTGTCCCGGGCTGACACGGTTAAGCCTGACGCGGCCCCGCTCACACGGAAGGAGGAGCCAGAGAGGAGCTTCGACTCCGACAGGTTCCGCTCGGAGGGCAGGGACAGGTACGCGCTGGCATCCTCCAGCTTCCTGCTGTCACCCTGCGAGGCACAGCACATGTCACCCTGGGGAGCACAGCCCGGGAGCTTCCTAATCCAAGGGGGTAATTACAGCTCCTGGGAGTAACTGGCTCCCCAACACTGATTTCAACAGAGCATCCCACAAAGCTGCTCCCTAAGGGGCTCTGCGGGGACCCTGCTCAGCCGGGAGAATTGGCTTGGAGAGATACCAAATCCCAGCCCGTGCCACGCAGGAGGACACGAGAACAGGCAGCAGAGGTGTGGGGGGAGGCTGGTGACACAGAGAAGTCTGAATCTGGGAATGAAACACACCTGAGCACTGCTTTGGGGATGGACACACAGCAGGACACTGACACAGGGTGGGAAACCAGCATGGAGCAGGACACTGACACAGATCAGGACAACGACACAGATCAGGACAACACACAGATCAGGACACCGACACAGATCAGGACAATGACACAGATCAGGGTAATGACACAGATCAGGACAATGACACAGATCAGGGTAATGACACAGATCAGGACAATGACACAGATCAGGACAATGACACAGATCAGGACAGTGACACAGATCAGGACACTGACACAGATCAGGACAATGACACAGATCAGGGTAATGACACAGCTCAGGACAACAACATAGATCAGGACAGTGACACAGATCAGGACACTGACACAGATCAGGACAATGACACAGATCAGGACACTGACACAGCTCAGGACAACAACACAGCTCAGGACAACAACCCGGACCAGGACACCACCCAGGCACCCGGCACAGCAGGTCCCACAGTATCACCATCACCAGTCCAATGTCTCCCACCTGCATGAGCACGCTGGGGCCTTCACAGCCACAAACCAGCCTGTTTCTGAGTCCCCTACTCTAAGTTGAAAATGTAATTGATGTTATGTCCAGAAGGACTCACTGGGGTGACTCTGAGTGACCCTTCCCTGCTCTTTGGCCACCCTGGGACGTGGGGGATGCCCAGAGCTGGCCAGACGTGCAGTGATGGGCTGCAGCTCACACATGGCAGCAGAACATCCATCCTCCCCTGCCTGCTGCCTCGCAGGGTGAAACCCCTCCTGCTGAAGGTCAGATGAAGGTGAAAGAGCTGTTTGCTGTTGGCTTTCCCCCTCCAGCACACCCACAGTGAGCAGTCAACATGCGGGAGCCCAGCGTTCCTTCCAGGGCTGAGCCCGTGCAGGGAAAGCTGGCTGGAGTTCAGACCAGCCGGAGATCAAGAGGTCTGAGCAGCTAAAAGCCCAGCTAAAAGCCTGTCACTCACATTCCTCTGGCAAACAGAGATGAAAAGATGAAATAGCTTCTGACTCCCAGAATCCAGCCCCAGTGTCTTCTGGGAAGAGCTGGAGTCAGCCGGGGAGAGTGTGGAGTGGGGCAGGATGTGGTGGTTCAGGGAGGGCAGCCACAGCCCTCTGAGGGGAACAGGGACCCGGGGGGAAGTGGGGGGGCTTGGTCTCCCAGGAGAGGGGTGTGCAGGGTTTGATCTTGTTGTCACAGCCAGCACTGGCAGGTCCTGAAGGTGCCCAGTGCTCTGCTGCAGAGAGGACAGTCCCTGGAGAGCCAGGGACCAGAGCCAGTGCTGCAGGCCACAGCAGCGTTAAAGAATTTGGGTCTTTTGCCCAAAAAAAGGCTGGGAGGAGGGACACAATAATGATTTCAAATGTGCAGGAGCCTTGGGGAGGAACAGCATGGTCTGTCCCTGTCCCCAGCTGCCACAGCAGGTGGAAGGAGATCAGCTCATCCCAAAGAGATGCAGGACCTGGGAAGGGACATGGCTCTGCCTGGAGAAAACATGGTCACGTTGTCAAAATCAGGGAGGACTCCAGTGCAGTAGCCCAGGGGTGGGGGGGTCAGGTTATCCCCTGGGGACATTGGAGCCCCATGGCTGGGGAGAGACCCCAAAGCAGTGCTGGCATGTGGGGTAAGAGCCCTGAGCTCCCCTGGGCAGCAGGGCCCGGCTTATGCCTCCCACTCCCCTGGACACAGCCGGCCCCAGTCCAGGGAGGGGACACCAGGCGAGGGGGGCAGCGCCTCCTGGGTCCCTTCACATCGGAGCCGACTGCGTTTTTCCCAAATGAACAGTGACTTTCCCTCCCCACACCCTCCCTCTGCTCTCTCGGAGCAAACGAGTGCAGTGCCAGGGCTGGTGAAATCAGGTGAAGCACAGCCACACCACGGGGACGTTTCCTCCCCATCACAAACATTTAAATCACCTTTTCCCAAACGAAACTTGTCATTGCAGGGGAGCAGCACAGGGATTGGAGACACGGCGTGTAGGAAGCCCCCGCCACCAAGGGCAGTGAGGACGAGGAGGGAGGAAGGGAGGGGGGCACTGGAAACCCTCGGGGACTCTGGATGCATGCCACCGTCACGGCGGCGTGGGCAGGGGCAGGGGTGGGGACCCTGGCCCCAGGAGCGCTGCCGTCCTGCAGCCCCCCGTTCCAGGGGCTCTGTGGCCCCCGTACCTTGTACAGCACCAGGTCGTGCTCCCCGTCCCGCAGGGTGGTGCCGTCGGGGCGCATCAGCCTCACAAAGGCCACGGAGAAAATCCGCTCGCTCCGGTCCTTGGCTGGGGGGGACACACAGGGGAGAGCTGAGGGGGGGTCAGAGGGGACAGGGGACACATCCTGGGTAGGGAAAGGCAGTGATGAGGGGGGTCCTGCCCTCCCGGCAGCCAGAGACACCCAGGGAGGAGGCAGGCAGGGCTGGGGCAGGCAGGGCTGGGCAGGCAGGCAGGGCTGGGGCAGGCAGGGCTAGGTGACGGCTTCTGTCACCTGCATGAATTTCGGAGGACCCACGATGTACCCCCCATGGTACGAGGCAAGGACGCCCCACGGGACCCTCCTGTCCCAGCCCACCCCCACTGCAGCCCCTCTGGGAATGTCCATGGAGGAAGGCCGAGAGCAGGGGACACTCACAGTCACTGGAGGAGCGATGGCGGAAGGTGAACCTCAGGTGGGTCCTGTGGACATCCTCGATGGGAACAGCGATCTAAGGGGGAACGTATGCCCAGCTGAGGGCAGGGGGCCACAGGCTGAGCCCACAGCCAGGCAATCCCCCTCTGTGCCCGGGCAAGGGCTGTGCTGGATTGTCCACTGCTGCAAACCAGCCCCACATCCTTCCCCATAAACCAGTGAGGCTGAGCTGGGGGCACTGGGGGCTGGGCAGGGCTGGTCGTGCCCATACTTGGGACTCCCCACTCAGCACTGCTGGTCACTCTGGGTCTCCATCCAGGAGTCGTGCCATGACACCATCAGCATCTCCATTCTCCCTGACATGGGGACCAAGGACTGCCTCCAAAAAGCCAGCCCGGACAGGGACCCCTGCAGCAGTGGGATTCTGCGGTGCAGAAGGAGCGGGGGCCACAGCCTGGGGGGGTTGCAGGGTCATCCCACCCCGGGCCCCACCCCCTGGGGCTCCCAGACCTTCAGAGTCTCCATCCAGCGCTGGTGCCGCTGCTGGTAGTAGACGACGGAGCGGTAGTGGCTGGTGGGGCTGTCCCCCGCGCCCGCCTGGATCACGTTCTGCCGGGGGGACACGCCTCGGGGTCAGCCCAAACAAGCTTGCAGGGAGGAAGGATTTCCACCCCCTGCCAACCTGGACCACCCCCGAGACCCCTGCCCACACCTCCTGGCACAGGTGCCCCTTTACCATAACCCAGCTGGCACTGGAATGTCTTTCCAGCTCTCCCTTCCCCGCCAGGCGGGAGGGGCAGCGAAAGGTATCCGTGTCCCCATCCCCTCCACTTCCACCAGGCCTAGTGCCACTTCCAAAGGGACTGTGACCCCCTGGGCGTGCCAGGGCTTGGCCTCCATTGCCCTGTGGGGAGGGCACTATCAGGATGGAGATGGATGCTATGCCCCCAGACCAGTCCAGCCAAGCCCACAACAATTCCAGCCCGTTCCTCAGGGGCCAGGTGAGAATTCATGTGAGAACACCTGGGAAGAGACAAGGAGGGCGGGATGACCTGGCTCTGAGCCCCCTGCCCTTCTGCCAGCCCCCAGCTCTTCCACTCCCACCTCTGCAGTGTCATGCCTGGGCACTGGGGGTGGCCAAGGGTCCTGGCTGTCCCCAGGGGAGGATGATTTCCTCTCTATCCCTCCACAGCACTTTTGCAGATCTTTATTCTATTCCCAGATCTCTGTTCTGAGCAGCTCCAGGGGCTCCTCCAGCTGGTTGTGCTACAGGAGCTGCTGGCTCTGCCCGAGGTGGGGTGACACAGGGGACAGTCCTGGGCCTGCCCCACATCTGCCATACCTGCACCACATTTCCTGCCTCGTCGCAGACACACACAGTCACCTCCACGTTCTTCTGCGTCTTCTTGTTCCCCTTGTCAAACTCACCCTGCACCAGCGTCAGGTAGATGTCGTTCCTGACGTCACCTGGGGGGACAGTCCCATCAGCCAGGTCCTGAGCCCCCGCTGGGACCCCCAGGGATCCCCGGGGTGGTGCCTCGCCCCCCACTTGCCTGGCATGATGACCTCCGGGTAGCCCAGCTTGCGAGCCACCACCGTGCTGCGATCCACCAGGTGAGGGTGGTCCTTCCGCACCTGGCTCAGGTCTCCCCACAGCATCTTCAGGGACACCCAGAGCCCTGTGGGGACCACAGCAGCTTTTCAAGGGGTGGCAGTAAGAGCTAGGGCAGCCCAGGGCCAGCCAGGAACCGCAGTGAGTCCCCAGCCCTGCAGGACATGGCCTGAGGGCTGCCCCACGTGCAGGCAGGTGGGTCCCTGAGCACAAGCAGCAGCTGCAGGGCCAGGTGGATGGCCTGGGGAGGGGTCTCACTTCACTCCCCACCACAGTGCACAGTGGGCACAGGAGACACTGGGGACACAGGCTCTTTACCTTGTCCCTTGTGGTTGTTGTCCTTCCCCTCCACTGCCTTCCGGATCATGTTGTGAAGAAAATCACTGTCAGCAGCCACCCTGGAAAAGCCATATTTATGGGAAAAACCTTTTCTCTTTGATCCTCACACCTCTTGTCCCCTTGCAGTCAGGGTCCTGTGCCAGCCAGGCCCTGGAGTGCTGCCCCCCTGCCCGCTCCCCCCCGCCCATGGGGCTCACAGGTGGACAGGGATGAAGTGCTGCTTGTCCTCGTCGCTGTCACACGTCCCCTTGGTGATGTCGGTGATGTCCATCACTGCAGTGACACAGAGATGGCACTGAGGGGTGGCTGCAGGGGAACAAGCACCCCCAGCCCCGTGGGTCCCATTCCCATGCCAAACCCTTCCAGAGCCAGCACCCAGGAGAGCTTTGTCCTGTCTTGCAGCCACAGCATCACCTGTGCCCCCGACAGTGTCCCTGCTGTGCCCTACAGGGAGCTCCTCCTGCCCCACTGAGACCTCTCTGGCACCTGCCAAGCTGTATGGGCTCTGGGCAGGGAAAAGCCTGCCTGGCTCCATGAGGGACATGTGCTGATGACATGGCTGGGACCTGTCAACCCAGCTGGGACCTGCTCCCCCAGCTGGGACCTGCCATCCTGGCACAGCTCACCCATGGGGAATGCTCTGGGGGTCTGAGCAACACCAGCATCATCTCCAGCACAGGGCAGAGTCAGAACCAGGGTCTCACACCAGAGTCCAGTGTCCCCTCTGTGGCCTCTGGGGATGGCATGGCCACCAACCAGTCATTGCAGGTGACCTCAGAGCTCTGGGACAGATCTTGGCCAAAACAAGCCATATCCAGAGCCTCTCCATTGCCCACGGATGAGGACTGGGGCAGGACAGGGCAGCAGGATAGTCCCTCTGCCCGGGGTGGTGGTACCCACTGCCATGTCCATAATTCCCCTGGAGATGTCCCTGACTGTGGTTCTGGCATGCCCTGAGCCAGGAGACATCAGTCATCTCACAGCAATGATCCACAGGGATCGAT